AGTCAGATGATATATGCAGTGTATATGTAACGATACATTTAATGATTGACCAATCAGAATTAAAGCCCTCTATGCTGATGTGAGTTGGTAGCTACCGTGAGGTTAATGATATAAAGTGGTAGATAGCAGATAGATGGTTAGTAGTTTATTGAATCTGATTGGTTGATTACAGCTTGCACTATATACATATAGGTAGAAAAATTAGCTAATTATAATGAAAGTTTGCTATACTACCGGTAGTGGTATGATAGCTAATGGTAGCTACCACCTACCGGTAAATACCGGTAGGAAAATTGAAATTTGGTAGAATCTCCATCACTAGGTGCGATAAAAGAATAAAAAATTCACTATAACAGATGATTTATTGAAATTCATTATATCGAAAGAATTTTATATGGTGGCTTGTATATATCAGATATCATATAGCGTGTTTATTTTTTTACGCATCAAATCGACTAGCCGATTTTGAAAAGAATCAAACAACCAGAACAAAAAATCGTTTAGTCGATTTTTTAGTACCTGCTATTATATCTATTTCCAATGTCTATAATTCTCTAAGTAGGTTATCCAAATCTTTAAAGCGGGAGTTATCTCGTTTGAATTCAACATGGGTTAGCGATTGGCGATGCTTTATAAAATTAATGAAATATAAGCAACGGAAAATCATGTAGCTTTACATACACACATCAATTCGATGTTTGTTTCACCTGTGCAAGACTCTCATATTTAACAGAACAATATTCACAATATCCCGATTCATCTCTAAGTGGCGCAACAATTCTTTTACCTTCATTTTCGCGTTTTTCTCGGTCACCTAAAAATGCAAAAAATCAATATTGTCATAGAATTACTAATGAAATGTCTTGTTGTGATAGCTTACCGTCTTTAGTAGGATTTGCAGGCGCAGCTGCAGAATTAGCAACATTCAAACTTGCAGACAGCTTAGTTTGAATTGACTTTTTTTTGGAATAAGTTTGAAATGGAGACACTGAATCGGGTATATCAAAATGAAAGCTTATGAGATGCTCTTCACCCAAGTACTGTCGCGAAATTATAGGTCGATGAAAGTTTGCAATATCGCCGACTATGATTGAGAAGATTTGATTTTTAGCAGGCTTTGTAACGTCGGTCGATGAAGATTGTAGGAATGAATGGTCCACTTTTGGTGGGTCAACCGATGAAGTGTCGAGTAATCTGCTAAGAATTTTTTTAAATTCTATTTGTAATTTGGAGCAAACATCAATATATATGCTTATTTGAATTACTATTGTTAGCAAATATAAATTAACATACTGTCGACGTGCCAAATCTTAATCCCTCTTTTTTGCGCATCAGCAAGATCAATGTCTCCCATTACCTATATTATTCAATATAAATAAACTGATAGCTCATAATAAAACGTTAAAGGCGAGTTGTGGATAATAATTACGTTAGTTGTAGCGATCGACCCGAATACTTTTTTGTCAGGATTTGTTCTTATTATAAGAAAAAAAATTTTCCATTAACATTCAATCCCTTTAAATATATGGTAATATTCAGATAATCAAACAATTACTTACATTTCAGAACAGTCTAGCTTTACCCTTTTCTTCGTAGTGTCATTCTGTATGGTATTTTTATTAGTTATATTTGTACCAAAAGCCCTTTTTGTAGTGGTTTTAAGTGCTGTCATTGTCGAAGTATGCTTCTTAGGCAAGGATTGTGTAGCAGCGGCTACAGTTTCGTTAATACATCGTTTTATTTCGTCCTCCTTATTTTCATTGTTTTCATTTTTGAGTAACCTTGAGGTAATTATATGAGTAACTTTCTCAACGTCATAAAACGATTCAACTGCCTAAAACATACTAGACGAGTTAAAATTCATGTCATTTTATCTGAAATTATTAGTTGGTTCTACTTACAGCTCCAAGCATCTTTATACCTAATATCATACTTTTTTTCACATTAATTTTTATACTGTCGTCAAAATAAAATCTACGATTCGGAAATTCCCTCCGTTGCAGAAAGACCCAATCAAGCATTTTGCCATCCCTTGTAGATATAGTTTTCTCCTGCAACGGCTGTTTAACCTTTGACAAAGAATTTATTTGATCTTTGCTCGCCATAATTTACGCGCTTTCTTGATAAAAATTGTCTTACAATTTTTTTAATAAAGGGAACAAATTATAGATTATAAAGATCGCGATTTTCGTTATAAATGACGCGTTTCAGGGAAAGACTGTCCAAATTAGGGGTCGACTAAAGCCAGGCGTTCACGTGACTACTGGTCCGATTACCTTATTTGCGCGGGTAACACAAATCAAAAAAGGAAATCAAAATTTGTAAATAACGATAAACTAAGTGCGTAAAAAATAGTTTAGAATTAGAACGTTAGAGTTGTGAGCTTTAGCAATAAGTTGGGTAACTACTTTTAGATCGCGAAAATTCTACGGACAGAGCTTAGGGACAGGATAGTCACGTTAGGGGTGAGATGTCATAGGCCGACATTCATCTGATTGGCTAATTGATTCAATTGCCCGGGTAACTAATTTATGTGCTTTAAAGTACT